TTGCTCAGGATCTCTGTCTCACCGGCGCAGCCGGATGTCAAGATCTCGTGGAACTCCTCTTCAGCCTCTGTCTCGTTGCTGGTTGTGGAGTCCTCGTCCTGGTAGTCGGGATCATGCGAGGTCTCAGATTCGCCCTCGCTGATGGAGCCCTCATCTGAGCTCATGGGATCCAGTTGTGGCTTGAAGACCTTTGGGGCGTTGATGGCATCCAATGTCTCGATTGCTTCATCCTCCATAGTCTCCTGCCACATAGCCAGCTGCTGCTGGGTTTCAGGTCCATGCACAACGGCCTTCAGGACCTCCTGTGGCACCTCACTTCCAGAGTCAGAGATGCTGTCCAGGGCATCTTGAACCAATGCGAAGGAGTGTGGATCGCTCAACAGGCGCTGCCTGAGTTCTTCCAAAGGCTTGATGCGCCGCTGTTTGGGATTCGGGTGTGATCCCATATTGAGCAAACCCAAGATCGGGTGCCTGGAAGGAGACATCACTGTAGGCCTCCAAGTGCCATGAATGCCAACCTGCAGGGTTGCGAAGTCGATCTGCACCTTCCAACGTGCCAGTTCTGCCGGACCCACCAGTCCGGGGCATTCTGATACCCTGTTGTCCGTGCTGGTGTTCTCAACCAGGGCAATGCGTACCCAACTCTTGCGGTCATAGATCTGGACGGGGTAGATGTACGCCTTGGTTGACAAGACAGGGTCACCAGCTCCAAAACGGAAGATCTCCTCATGGTCCGCCATGAAGTATTCCATGCCACACTGCTCCAATGCACGCTGGAAATCAACATGCCAGAGCTTGCCGGCTACTGCTGTTCGGCAACCTGTGTCGAGGATCACGTGACCTGGAGGCATGTTCATTTGCATCATGGCCTCGCGGTACTCCTCTTGTGTTGGGGCTGCCGCCTTGCAGCTCGGGGCGGCCGTGGCTGCCATTGCACCATGGACTGTGCTGTAGTACAGGACTTTGCGCAGCTTGCAGTCCTTGCATGTGGCCCAATGTGCATGGGCATTTGCTCCCCAGACCAGGCGATCGAACTTGTGGCGGCACGCCTCCTGGTCAGCCGTTGGGATGTCCGAAGCCTCTGATGGCTTCAAGCGTCCTCGCTTGTCGAGCGCAGCTTCATACAAGGACTTGCGGAACTCCTCCAATCTCTTCTTCTTGACTGGAGTTGGCAGGTTCTCCTGCTTCTCTGGTGGCTCTTGAACCTGATCCTTGCCACGTCGATCAGGCGTGGAGTAGCCATAGCCGCCCTTGCGCTGCTCAGGGCGCTTCAACATGGACCGCTCCGAGGTTGCCGAGCGGCCAAAGATCTCGAGGATCTCGCGTTCCTGGTCCTTCTTCAGCTGCTTATAGAGGATCTTCTTCTCCTCTTTGGACATCTTGGGGAGCAGCTTCAGTGCTCAGGCCAACATCCTCCTCCAAGCGTTCTGGCTTCTTATGCTTGGGTTTGGCCTTTGGACGAGCCTCTGTGCTTGATGTCGCACCGGTAGCCCTGGCTGTGGCACGATCTGCAAGGCGCTTCTCCTTCTTACGGAGCCGCTGGATGGTTTCTTCATCTTTCTCATCCTCCAGCAGTGAGCGCAGCACCGTGAGAAGCTTCACTTTAATCTTCTCCTTTGCTTGCTTGGATTGGGAGGCTTGCGAACTCTCCGACAGCTTGAGGTGGTAGGCCAGGTCCTCTTCTTCACTTTCTGAGGCTGCACTTGAGCTGCTATCCACCTCCTCATCATCGGACTGGTACCGTCGGATTCGCTCCCATCCATGCATCATGGTCCAATTGACCTGCCTTGTACTGGTGCCCTCTGTAGGTGCGGGAGCCTCCGCTGCAGCAGTTGCGGTTGTTGTATCTGCTGCTGCTTCCCTTGTTGCCTCGGTGGCATTGGAAGCTTCTTCTGAGGGAGCTGGAGCCTCTGGTGGAGCTGGTCTTGTCACATCGACCGGCTCAGCCATTTCCGGCTTGCTCCTCCTCCGGCGCCGCCGGTGCTCACCTTCAGGGCGTGCCTCACCTGGCTCACCTTCTGAACGGCGACGCCGTCGCCTCTCTCGAGACTTCTCTGGGTCTCGGATCGGCAGCGGTGCCGGTTCTGCTGCCTCTCTCTCTGCCGCTGGCGGTGGTTTGGTCTGTTGCTCTGCCGCGGGCTGAGGTTTGGCCTTTCGTGGTTTGGGCCAGATCTGCTTAGCAGGACGGGGCTTCATCAACGGAGATGGAGGCGGTGACGTTCTTGTACTGTCAATGGCATCTTGGATGCTATCAAAGACCAGATATTCTTCTTCACCTGGTCGTCGAGCTTTGATCTTGGCCGACAGGCCTTTTGTACCCGGCTCAGGGATCTTCGGCGCCTCATCATCGTAGTCATCATAGTAACCCCTGTCGCTGCGGCGCTTGGTACCCGTTCGCTCCCTTTCCGGAGGTGGGTACGATGGCTCTGCCGGTCGCCGCCGGTCTGGCAGGGGCTGCGGCCTCCTGCGAAGTGGCTCACGCTCAGGCGGTGGTTCAGACTTCACTGGCCTGGCGGGTCCTGCTGAGGGATGGCGCTGCCCCTTGTGAGTGCCCGTATTGAAATGGGCCTCATTGTCGCGCTTCTGGTGAACTGCATCTTTACCTGAGCGGACATTTGGGCATACCTCATCACCCTTCCAATGGCCTCGTTGGCCGCAGCTGGCACAGGTGGAGTTCTTCTTCCTGGCATCGGGGGTCCTGGTGTCTGGTGGTCGCTTGCTCTTGCCCTTCCCTTTACCTTTTGGCTTGCCATCTCCCTTGTAGCCACGGCCTTTGCGTTGTTGAGCCGTCTTTGACTTGGCTCACCAGCCGGCGGAGAAAGCTTCTTGGAGGGCACCTCGATCCACCGTGTCCAGGTCCTCGTCATCATCATCGTAGTAGCCCTCATCATCTTCATATGCCTCTTCTTCCGGCATGTCTTCTTCTGCCATGAGGGCTTCATGCTCCAGATCCTCATTGTCTAGGTCTCCGAAGGAGTCCTCCTCATCATCGTACTCCCAGTCGTCCTCTGCATCCGCCCAGTGTGTATGGCGGGTTGGCTTGTAAGGACCCCTGCGGTCTGTTCGCTTGACCGACTTCCGAGGCTCTCGATGAGCTGTAGGCTTGCGCTCATCCAAGTGAAGTTGACTGCACCTGAAGCGAAGCACCCGTTCGATGTCAGCAGACTTGTAAGCACCTCCGGCTGCAAAGAACACATCATATCGTTCTCTGCGAGTGAGCGCGGCTCGAGACAGCATCCTCTGGGCGAACGCCCTGTCTGAGATCACTGAGCCAGGGTCTTCTTTGAGGTATTCTGTTCTCAACCTCTTCAAAGTGGCCAGATAGGCCGCCACACTCTGGCCTGGGAGGCGTCTGTATGACATGAACTCCGATTGCTTCTCTTCGAAGCGTTCATCAGCCTTTGCACCATAGGCGTCCTCAAGAAGGCGAAGTACTCGATTGAGGCCTCCTGCTGACCTCATGTCTTCAATCTCAAGTTGATTCAGCACTTCACGAGCTTCGCCCTCGCAACTGAGGAACATCAAAACGGCCAATTCTTCATCATCTTGAAGTTGATATAGCTGCCGTTGTGCCTGAATCGTCTTGATCCAGTTCCTGTAATGGGCCCTGTCGCCCTTGAAGACCTCGAGCTTGACCTGCCCAAGGTTGGTGCGGTTGCGCTCACCTGAACTGCCTGGCCTGCCCTTCAGCAGTTCCTTGATGGATTCAGTACGCACGGTACTAATCTCCGACGGCGCTGCCGAACCACCATGGGATGGTGGACCTGAGGGCGGTGCAGAAGGCGGATCTTGGTCCTTCTCGACCTTGGGCTTCTTCTTCACAACCTTGGCCGCCCGATGAAAGGCCTTCGGCGGTTGTGGATCCTTCGGAGGATCTGCTGGGCGAGACTTCCCAGCTTTTGCCTTTGCCGGCGCTGCCGGTTTTGGCTTTGCAGCTGGTTTTGCTGCTTGCTTCGCCTTGGCAGCGGCCTTCGGCGTCTGTGCAGCTCTTGGAGTTCCTCTTGGGGTCGCAGCCACACTTGGATCATCTGTGAACTCCCCATCCTCTTCTTCACTCTCCTCATACTCCACTTCCTCATAGGATGAACTGCTTCCACCTTCACTACCATCATCGTCGTCATCATCATCTTCATCCTCCTCTGGTGGAGGAGGAGGTGCTTTCTTCTTCTCTTTTGCCGGAGGCTTCTTCTTATTCGGAGACCTCTTCTGTGACTCCGGCTTGGATGGCTTCTTGGGATGTGCAGGTTCTCGTGGTGGCTTTGACCCTGAGGGATGCCTCGTAGTCTCAGGGTTGACATACTGCCAAGAAGCTCCAATGCTCGACGTTGCCGTGGGGATGGTTCCAGCTGGTGGTGCAGTGAAGCGATGTGAACCTCCATGGCCATACCACCAATGTTGCCCATCGCTGTACCACCAGTCAGTGCCCATAGACATCCTGTTCCCATCGCAGCTGTGACATGGCCGGGTAAGGTTGGCATCGTATGCTGGAGGAACAGGCATCTGCGGAGGTGGCATCGAAGGTGTCCAACCCTTACCTTTGCCACCCATGCGTCTTGCGGGCGCCGCCGGAGCTGACTGTGCTGATCCAGGTGTGCCTTGTGGCGTTCCATGAACTGCACCATCGGATGCCGCTGACATCCTCCTGGGGGTCGCCGCGGGCGACCCCTCTCCAGGCGCAGCCTGGGTCTGGGAAGAAGCATCTTCCCACTCATGGGCCCCCGAGCCTGCATGCTCGGCCATCAGCCCCCGATCGAAGATCAGGAGCTCCGCTACCAATGCGGAGTGCACAGGGTAGCGTCAGCAAGAAAGAAAACGCGGGGCAAACGCGCAACGAAACACGCGGTGTTTCCAACGCAAGTCGCTTGAGTCAAGCTGCGGTGCGGGTTCATGCATGAAAGCAATCATGTCAAGCTACCTATCTGTACCTAGCTATGATCTTCACACTAGTAACCAGAAGCTAACGCTTCGCTCGCCGCTCAGCTGATCTCAAGGATCCCGGCAAGAGCCGGAATTCTTCTCCATGTGAGCCACCATCTGGCATCCAGCAGCCCACGTTCACAGCCCAGCGGAATCCTCGAATCGCCCCAAGACCCTTGCGCTGGGATCCTTGCTGGGATCCTTGTTGGACCGTTCTTGTGTCCTTCTGTCCGTCCCATGGTTTGTTTTCAACAGTTGCTTTGCTTGGCCCACTGTCTTTTCCGTCATCGTCTCTTTCTTTCATGGCTACCAGCTTTTTTCAGGCCATCGCTTCACCTTTGGGTCTTTCTTTTCAATCTCTCTGTCTTATCTTTCCCATCCAAAGCTGTGAGGGCGAGGGGCGTGCGCATGACTCCGTCGACTGGCTTCCCCATGAGCTCGCGGGTGCCTTGGTACGATGTTCTCGCGCACGGGTCGGTCAGGAACATGGCCCGGCAGCTTGCCACACGCCAAAGGAAAACGAACATGTCTCAACATCAAAAATCATGGGAGAAATTCAGAAAGAAAGAAACAAAGACAGACAGACTAAAATTACTAAAAGAAAGAGAGAAAGAATACGTGAATCATGGTATGCACGTACCAAACAGGATGCCGCTTCCGCACCTGCCATCGGCTTTGTGCTAAGCCTGAGGTCGGCACCTCTAAGGTGTACTGGGCCAATTCCGACAAGAGCTCTTCAGCCAAGGGCACGGACAGCCCGACGGACACACCTTGCCCCATGGCAAATCAAGGCCGACGATGGTTGAATCCAATGGGCGTGGAGAAAGTGTCGATATTTTCCTTAGTAAGTGTTTGAACTTATCTGGTGCTCGGCCACATTGCAGCACGTAGCTCTGCTCAGAAAGGCAAGCTTGAACAACAAACAGCACCCCTGCAATTGCACAGCTTGGACATGGCATGGAATGCAAAATGACGATGGCTAGCAGAGACATCTGCAGGGAATCGCGAAGGATGTTTGGCATTGCCGGCGCCAACTATACAAAAATGTCCCCATATCTGAGGAGTGTCCTTTACAAGGACCTCATATCTGAGGTCTCAAGAGACTTGACTCAACTTGCTTGATCTGCAAATGTATCAAGTTGCATGCAGGAGGCTAGTTGACACACCATGTCGATGGGACTCGTAGCCTCCAAATTGTACTCCTGGAGCTCTGTGCCCCACCAAGTGGCGAGCAAGAGCGCTTTGAAAACGAGTTGGCAGTCGCACTGATTGAAAGTGATAGTTGTAAGAAAGTGGCAAGTCTGTCTTAGGTGGCTGTATATCTGGATTCATCTCAACCATATCGTTTTCAACCTCCTGCTCTAGCGTGCCTGTACCGGTTCTGTAGCAGCTTTTCAGCCGACCGAACGAAGTGATAAAAAGCACATGTGGATCTCTTGGTAGGCTAATCATGACGTTTAATTCTAATAGCTCTTTTGTTACTACTAGTAAGGCACCTGTTACTACTAGCTTCCTTCCCCTGGGTCTCAGACTGGGTCTGAACTTGCTCTTTCAAAAACTACCGCCGAATCGCCTGGAATCCGGTCACTAAGGCAGGCCGGAATCCCTGAGGCTGTGTTGACATTGGTATTACTACCCAAGCAACTGAGAAAACAACAAAACATAAGAAAACAAGGGAATACAAAGCGAAACCTTCAACATCCGGTTCTTTGATTCATTGAAGCTGTCATTCTTCCTCGGTGTCTTCCCCCTTGCAGAAGCACTAACAAGACTACATCGCTTGGATTGGAGTTTTGATCTACGGGGCTCAAATGGTGAACCGACAAATGAGCACTAGGGATGAGAAAGGCAAATTGTGCGCCACGGCATTGGGAACGGCATTGGGTTCGCAAGTTCAGTACAAGACCAGATCAGTTTTTCAAGAAGTGCAACGAAGCACAAATCAAATGGACACGTGCCGATTTGCAAGAAAACAAGGAATCATTACAGTAAATCAGTATTCATCACTTCGTTCTGCAATTGGGCAGCTGCAGTCTTAGACTCAAATGCCCTTGATTAAATTGCCAGTGTAGATTTTGCAGCTGTACGGGTGTATGAACCTTGCGCGGGCACAAAGCAAAAAAAGTGCAAAAAATGAAGGACTGAAATGACTTAAAATTCTACCCTGGCTCCAACAATCGCAATCGGCAGCCCCAAGCCCATCGCTATATAGAAGGTTGGAGGCCATCGATAGTAGGTTGGAGGCCATCGCTAAACGGTTGGAGGCCATCGCTAGTAGGTTGGAGGCCATCACTAGTAGTGTGTAATGTTGGTTTATGAATTCATGCCCCTGCCATTTCCTAAGACGACGTCCTTCGATTGCGGCCGAGCAACGTGCCAGTTGAACCAGCTTGTGGTGACTCGATGGGCGTGAACGCCCCCGGTCCTTGATCTTCTTCGTGGAACACCGTGGCCATGTTGTAATAGCGAGCGTCCGCAGTATTGAGAGCCAAATTCCAGTCCACGCCTTTGGGGAAGGTCACGTCGAAATTGACCAAAGCCCGGCGCTGAAAGTTGAAGATCGCAAACACCGATCGAGCACTTGGCGCACTTGGCGCGGACGTTGAAGATGGCCAATTCTCCTTCCAGCGATGAAGGGTCAAAATCTTGTTCGTCTCATCCGCGGTGACATTAACGCCCGTCCCGCTTCCGAGCCCTTGGACGCGCCGCAAGGCGACCAAGTCTTGATGCAGCTTGAAGGTCCCCCGGTGTGACGCCAATTGGCTCCAATCCATGGGCTGATGGGCAGAGAAAAGCTCTTGAAGTGCAAACTCTTGACCCTGAAAGATCAATGGAATTCCAGGGCTCAGCATGACCAAAGCAGTGGCCAAGGCGGAAAGCCTGCTGCCCACCCAACTGTCTCTACGACCTGAAATGGCCAGGGGCAAGCGAAATCGCCCTGCTTCGTCATGACTCTCCGCGTAGATGGTGCGGCGCACGCCACCACCAAGATCTGCCAAGATGGCCTGCTGCAAGTCGCTCATGTTGCGCCATGCATCAGGCTGTCTCAAGTTCTTCAGCAGAGTCCAGTGGAACCTGCCGTCCCATTGGCTGTTGAAACCCAAGCCTTTTGGAAGCTCCTCCGTCAGAGACATGTTACCCTGAAGATCTTCGGCGATCAACATCTTTCCGGTCTTCCGCACGGCGGCCGAGAGTTCCTTGAGAAACAACTCTCCTTCTGGATTGAAGGTGCCGGCGCTTCGGTTGGTTTCGCTTCCACCCCACAGGCGGATGAAACTCACTCCATCCACTCGTAGCCCATCGCAATGCATCGTGTCAAGCCAGAACAGTGCATTGTCGACGAAGAAGCGCCTGACATCCGGCACTCCGTAGTTGGGACGTGTATGCGCCCAGGGCGTCTCCGCCCGGTGATCGTTGTAGAAATAGATTCCGCCGAGGCCTGTACCGTTGGACCATCCATCAAACTGCCAGAGGGGCAGGTCCATGGGGCCCAAATGATTGTAGACGACGTCGAGAAGGACAGCCAGACCCTTCTGGTGGCATGCATTCACGAACCTCTTGAAAGCATCCTGTCCGCCATACGACACCTCCACCGCAAAGGGATACGCCGTAGTATATCCCCAGTCCACGGTGCCATCAAATTCGGCCACTGGCAGAAGCTCCACTGCGTTGATGCCGAGCTCGACTAGATGCTCCAACTTCGGTATGCACATGTCCAGGGTGGCAGTGCCAGTCCAACCTTCATAGGCACAAAAACTTCCCACGTGGAGCTCATAGATCACCAAGGTGTCCCAATGAGGCATGGACCAGTTGGCATCTGTCCACTGAAACTTCTCGTCAAAATAGGTTAAGGAGTTTCCAAGTGTGGTGCCATCCTGCAGTCGAGACCATGGATCCGGACGCCAATAAGACCGCCCATCCTCAGAGACCAGGAAGATCTTGTACGCAGCACCTCTCTCCCGGCCACGGCCACCGCACGTCGAACACAAAGAACATGCGGGAGAACGGTTCAGTGCATCGCTACGAGTCACAAGATGTAACAAGGGTATCGCTATTAGTCAAGACTGACTAGTCACAGGGGCATCGCCAATAGAACGAACGGTTCCCCTATCTTCTCAGAATGACACCGACTTCAGAACCTAACCCTGACCCGCGGACGTGCCTATTTGGAAGAGGTAGTCTCTGGTTGGCTCACTGGAGATGTTGAGCTCCCACCATCCATCTGAGAGATTCACCAAAGAGTCTGGCATCCAACCATTCCATGAACCTACTATAGACACCTGCGTCGCGTGGGGTGCATAGATCTTCACAACAGCACCACCCGATGGTAGAGGCTGAAAGCCCGCACCGTGGCGACCCAAGGAGCACTGCCAACACAGCCTAAGTGAAGCACAGACCCTGAAGCAAGAACATCGAAGAACATAACCCATGCGACGCCCATTCAAAGGGCTCTCCGGGCCCTGTTTGAGTCCGGAAAGCAATGGCTTGAGACGAATTCTACAGAGCAAAGATTCCGAGTAGATTTTTCAGACTAGTAGAACTCCAACGAAAAAAGCCTTCCAACTTAATAGCGATGGCCTCCACCCTAGCAGCGATGGCCTCCTGGATGTTCAGACTCCTGTTTCTGCTCATTCAGCTTATGCGCTGCGGCGCCGCAATGCACGGACATTTCTGCAAGCGAGTGGCAGCACTGTCAGCTGTCGCAATCTCGACATGTGCGCTGACTGAATCTGGCTGAAACACGTTCCTTTGCGCGTTTGAGCCCCTGAACCGCGTAGATGCAGTGCAGATCACAACTAAATACAAGCTAGAACACGTCTTTATTTCTGCTATAGATGACAGGAACACACTACCGGGTCACTACTGTCATGCTAAGCGTTGAGGGCATTCCAAGAACAAGAGAGCAGAGACATTCCCTTTGCAGCATCCATCGCTACAACATGTAAGCACTGTATGAAACACAATGACGATGTGAGAGCTACGATTTTGAAGCACAGGCAAGACACACTCCGAAGAAGGTACCTTCTTTTGCCAGCTCTCAGCGGCAAAGCATTCTTGTCACAACGCGGAAAGGAGAAGAAAATATCTTGAGCTCTCTATAGTGGAGACTTTGCTCAACTAGAAAGCTTCGAAACTTTGTTGGAATCACTCATCTCTGTGATCACAGATTTGGTGCGCTTTAAAAGGCGAGGTTTGGCCTGGCCTGGCATGGTAGCCTTTAGGCCTCGGGCTAACTGGCTTTCACCTGAGCAGCTCTCAAAACCGGCATCTGTCTATGTCGTAAGAATTTGCAAACCGCCACTGCTTACGCTGTGCTTACGCGACCACAATGGCAGCTTACCCCGGAAGTTCTTGGAAGAAAGGGCTTACGCAACACTTACCCCAACAAGTTTTAGCACCAGACCACAGCAGCAGCTTATGCGCCATCTATTTTACAAGGGAAGCGGACACAAAGAAGCAGTGAGACAACTACACTACGCAGCAGAAGATCTCGAGGACGTAGACGAAGTTGATTAGCTGCGAGCGCTGGAACGGCAACCTGCACACGACCTGGTCTCGCTGTGCGCTGATGCGTTGTCTTTCGCGCCATTGCAGTGCAGAAAAGGGCTTTGGAGGCATCGTGGGCTGTCTTCAACGGCGACGCGGAGCTTACGCGGATAACGCGGAACGTGGTATAAACAGCCTGTTTCTTCTTCGACCGTACTTCTGCTTCACAGACATGCATGTTTCAGAAGTTTACTGACCCCGTCTGGTGTAAATGATTTTATGCCATGTTAAAAAAAATAGCTTCAGCTTACGCAGCTTACGCGACTCCTATCTCCCACAAACAGCTTACGCAACCTTACATCAGTGTTTTGCTTACGTGGAACATTTGTCAAGCACACCACGAAACATGAATAGGAAGGTTTATAGAGTGGCTCACCTTTCAGACTGCTGCATGACAAGACACGTTCATCATCTCTTTTCGTTGCGCTGCAGTCACTCGCTCGGGACAGGTTGCTGCGGCCTGACGTGCCCGGCTTGGCCTGACGTACCACTTGGCTTTCATGTTCGCTCCTTCCGAGCCTTTCACTCTTCTCACTCTTCTCACCAGGCTCACCTCTCAACTGCTTGTAAAGCCGAATGTTCTCTTCGCCGAAGACGTAGAGCACGCGCTCCTGTGGCTCGTGTCCCAGAGCTCCCCAGGACATGCTCACGACCTTCAGCATCTTCACGGGCTTCGACTGCATCTGCGTGGCTGCGCTGGCAGCTGCGCTAGCAGTCGAAGAGGTTGCAGCTGTGGACACAGAGGTCTTCGGTTTGATGCCAATTTGGTCACGAAAACGTTGCATTTCCATCTTATCGTCATCACTTTCTTCACGAGCTTCAGGAGATTTGACTGGTTCCTTTGGCGAATCTTCCAAGGCTTCAATCAAGGCCGCTTCTGCTGCTTCTGCATCTGGGATGTCCACATCTTTCTGACCCTCGCCGCCTGCTAGCGCAGGTACGGCTGGTGTGGGTGTGGTGGCTGGGCCAGCCAAGACCAAGAGCTGCCGATGGAAGGCATCTTGTAGAAGTCGATCGTGTCTCTGGCGCAATTCCGCCGTCGCCTGCTTTGGGTTTGGCAAAGTCACTCTGCTCCAGCCTGTCACGCAGGACACTTGCGAATCCTTCTCCTCTCGACCCAGCTTGGTGCAAAGGAGAGCTATCCGATCCCATCGTCCTAAAGCTTCGATCCTCTCGTCACTGAAGCCAAGCTGCTTCAGCCTGAGACAGAGGCCACCATCCTTCTCCAAGCACAATTTCGCGAGTGCCAAGCAGTCACCTAATTGTTTCACCAGAAGGGGCAAAAAGCTGATACCTTCCAGACGTCCATTGCTGGGATCGCCTGGGCCTGCAATGGCCAAGAGGCTACCCTTCTTCTTCCGAAAGCTGGCATATCGGCTGGCCAAGTTCCAAGGTGCCAGCTGAAGCTGTTCTAAAGCCCATCTGGCGCGTAGCACGTCTTGCTCTCCTTTTCTCCTGCGCTCCAGCTCTTCCAAATCCTGAAGTGCCTTCATCAGCTGCGAATCGAAATGATACAAGTGGTCAATTCCAAGCATTCGCAGCCGTTCTTCACCCCTGCGCATGGACTCCAGCAAACACACGGACTCCGGCAGATCATAACGAGCATCCAAACCTCTTGATTCTTTAAACTCCGCTCTGACTAGACTGGCCTGATCTGGAAACCATTTGGAGATGCATGGCAAAATGTTTTGCCGTAAGGCCCTCGTCGTCTGCTCACCCTCATCCACCTCATCATCGCCCAAGTCCCCTTTGAAATCTTTCAACCATCTTCCCTGAGCATGATGTAACATGTGACGGATGCAGCTGGACCTCATCTGTGCACACTCGCGCGACGTGGGAGCTTGCACGAGCCGTATGGGTTCAACTTGCCCAACAACGCAAATCCGGGACAACGGACGCAAGTAGAGTTGCGACACCTGAGCAGTCTGGCCCTTTGGGCCGTTCTTTTCTCTATCGGTTCTTTTCTCATCCTCGCCGTTCCAGATCAACAAGAAACGACGACTGTCGGTGACCTCGTGGCAATGGAGAGGAGCCTGAAGGAGGTTGGATTCCATCACCGAGACGCTGTGACCTGCCTTGAGATGAATCTGTGACGCCAAGAGTGGCACGGGTCCATTGAGTCGAGTGGGATGGCACCTGACATTCCAAGAAACATGTCTTTTTTAACAAAATGATGTTCTTCTTTCCTGTTTCGGTCTTCCATGTGTTTCCTTTGGTTTGGTTCCAATCTTTGGTTCTGTTTCTCCCTTTAAAAGGCTTTATATATAGGCCTTTGTTCCTGCTGTTCGAAATCACACAAACGTGCTTGTCAGTCGGACGGTACCTTAGAGGGCCAAGAAGTTCACCTTCATAACGCTTCTTGCGGGGAACGAAGTAGCTGAAGACCTCGTGGCCCATCCCCATGTTCATCAGCAAAACTGGAGATTCCTCGATGTATTCATACAGAACAAACGGTTGCTCAGCTCTCAGGGACAGTTCACTTGCGCTGGGAGGAGACTTCCCCGACCAGCGTTTTTTGCTGGAGATGGGAGCTCGTACGACACACCTCATCTGGAGGTAACGCTTCTCTCCCTTCACTCGGACATCTTTTCCCCAAAGGTAGCGGGCGACCTCACTGTGCTGAAGACGTTTGCGCTTCTCACTGGACATCGGCGCTGCACCTGGCACAGCCATCCCTGCCACTTCCGGCAACGTGGCTTGGCCGTATCTCGAGACCTTCGGTGGTGCCGAAGCCCAGCTGGCCGTGAGGCCCTCCAAAGGGCTCGGCTCACTCGGCGGCCGCAGGATCGCCCAGATCCGCCGCGCGCGCTTCGCCGGCGGCTCCGCTTCCTCCTCGCCCCGCGGGGCCGTTGGAAGGGACCGGGAGAAGGGGCGAAGAGGAGTGAATCCGAGACCTTCTAAAAGAATCTCATGGAAGTCCGACATGCTGAACAGCGTCCGGAGCACACCTTGGTGTTTGCGTGCCGGAACTGCAAACAACGTGCGCGAGCGAACGTCATCTGACATCAGAAACCTCGTCCAAAATCGAAAATTGACAAGCATCAATCCGGCTTTTCGTTGGTCTCATTTGCCTTGGGTGCTTGGTCTCCTGAGCATCAACCAGAAGAGAGAGCTGGATGTTCTGCAGTTGTAAGCTTGCGATCAAGAACAGGTGCTCCGCTTGTTGTTGCTGACACCCACTTTGTCGTGTTGCATATACTGCCCATTTCCATGAGATGGACTCTCTCTCTCTCTCTCTCCCAGCAGCACTGACAGTCTCATGGTCTTTGATCATCTCTTCCGCCGCATTTCTTCCAGGTAGCTTTTCTGATTGTCTGCCTGCCCCCTTTGTGAAACCAAAGACTATCTACTAGGAACACGAAGCTACGAACGGAGCCCCTGGCCTTACTACTAGGAGCGATCGGACGCTACGAAAAGGGGCTGCTGGCATCGCGACTCGAACGGAGCATTCTTACTAGGAATAAGAAGCATGTTCTCTTCTGTATGCTTGGCATGTCGCGCATGTCGCTCCTCCCGATTGCGGCCCAAGTGGGTCGGAAGGCGGGTGGGAAGGCTGTCGAGAAGGCTCGGAGGCACCTGGCTCCACATCCCCATCCCAGCAAGAGGCGACACAACTTTGAGGAAGAGAAAGGTGTTGCAAAAAAGGCTTGCTGAGACAATTCTAAATTCAATAGACATCTCAATCTCATAAAGAAAAAAACATCTGAGCACAATCTCTCTCCATTTGCAGACTCGAGGCTTTGAGGCCCTCCCTGAGGCAGCCTTTTGGGACTCGCCTCACCGTTGGCCACATGCAAACGGAAAACAAAAACCCGACGGAAAAGAAAAGGAAACAAAAATTGACTAGCGATGGCCTCCAACCTAATAGGAAACTCCAGAACCAAAACCCTCAAGACACTGCCCTGCCAGGAAATCTACGCTTACAGCAAACAACATCAAACAGCTACCACAGCAGATTCACGCACTCAAGTAAAACAACATGTGCACCGCAATGAGGGCACAACTCTCTTCTGCGCAAACAGCCCCCCAAAAAAGAAAGTGCTGCACCAGCCATGAAGTCAGTGCATGCAAGTCCTAGTGTGTGTGGTGTGTGTCTCTCGATTTGCGTGTGCCGCTATCTGTTTAGGGACCACAATGGCCGCCACGGCCAGCGTAGCCCTTTGGTGAAAGAGAAGCAGGAAAATTCCAGACATGACAAGAAAAGAGCCATTGACAAAAAAAGCCGCAAAAAATAGTTCGGAAAAAAAGTGCCAAAAACCAAGACACCTCTGGGCGACGGATGATTCGGAGGCCTCACACGATGGTCTTGCAGTGTCGTGGTGTGCGGGGTGAGGCTAAAGTAACAAAGATACTCGGGAACTCAAGGGGAAGTCTGCCAAAACAAACCATTCTTTTGACCCCATGCACCTTGACCAAAAGAGTATGTTCAAAAGGTTTAATTTAAAAAATAAAGAAAAACAAGAGGTCAAGAGTCGACAGTCGACAGACACGTCCTTTGGGTTTTCCTCCTACGTCCCCAAGACCGCGCTGTCGCGACGAAGGGCGTCCGGCGCCGTCCGCGCCTCGAGGACTGCGTAGCACGGGGCTCGGCAGCGGGTGAAGGGCATCGGGCGACGCCGACGCGTCCAGAGGTTGCCACAAGGGCGATGGAACTGCCGGCGAAGCCATGGGCGAAGCCATGGGCGAAGCCGGCGAAGCCCAAGAAGACCTGAAGTCCTCCGCTGGTGTCGGTGGAACCTCGAGCATCGGCGATGGCAAAGGCGTCGGCGGTGCTGGCAGGGAAGCATCCGTGGCGGCGTCCAGGGCTCCCTCTGGGAGCTGGAAGTCATGAAGGTCATCTGGCGGCAGATTGAGTGTCTCTTCCTTGATCTGGGATGCATTTGCTTCGGGAGCATCGTGTTCATGAGGTACACTGCTCAAGCCCAAGCCAATGCTGTCCAGCACACCTTCACCCCAGAGTTAAAACTCATCTTTAAGGCATCTTCAAAGTTAAAACTAATAACGATGGCCTCCAACCCACTTGGCGATGGCCTCCTACTTCCAACCTACTAGCAATGGCCTCCTACCTACTAGCGATGGCCTTCACCCCAGTCTGGGGGTGGACGGCGGCCCTTCATCCATTCGCGGACTTCGAGCACATCGACATCGGCAATGAGGGACCATCAAATTAAATCTCTCTCTCTCTCTCTCCACTATGCGATGCGTCAACTGGTTTCTAGTCGTGTCTAGCGCGTGTTTCACCTGACATTGGATGCGTTTTACCTCTCTCCCGTTGAAGCTCAGAGCCGAAACATCAAGACGAAACGTCCGAGGCTGTTGGAGCGGTTGTTTCGGCGCATGGTTCGGGAGAATGGGAGAGGGAGAGGGGCAAAGCTCTGCTGCTCTGCTGCTCTGCTAAAGCTGGTTCTAAGTGGACTTCTGGACGACTTCCACTTTGCCTGACCCTTTCATGAAACCGACGAAGGCTGCGCTGAAAACCACGTGCTTTGGCCCAAGCATTCCGAATCGCAACCACCAGAACAGTCATCGCAGGCATTGACCAAAGTGGTCTTGGCTGTATGACACCTACATTATTTATCACATCTTATCACACATCACATCAGAAAAATGCTCGTCCTCTTTCTCGTTGCCTTCATGCAAGTTCACCACTTGCACTGTGAAACAAGGAGACAACACCATCCTTTGGAGCACTATTGGGAGTGAGACAGTGACATAAAAAGGCAGAACGCCTCAGCCTCCTGTGATGATTAGCTTTCAATATCATAGCTAGTCATAAATCCTTTGAGGCTCTTCTTACTCCTTTGAGTCGAGGGAGTGTCTTTGGGTCTACGTACATGTTTCGCTATTAGGTTCCTTATGCTATTAGGTTGGAGGCCATCGCAAGTAGGTTGGAGGCCATCGCTATTTCTTGAACTCTCCAGTTGACTTGACCCTTTGCCCAGAGACAGCCATATTGGCACCTTGTTGGCACCCTGGCCATCGCGTTCCGTCTGACTGGCGAGACTAGAAATCCACGTTCCGTCCAAAGATCTCACTGCTGACCTGAGACGATCTCCGTGTGACCAAACGCACGACAGGGCTGAAGCATGCTGAAGCTATCCTGCCATGTCGAACCTCCCGCGATCGCGATGGGCTAGAGCCCCACCTGGTCCAATTTCATCGGATGGCACTTGCCATAGAAATTCTCAAGGTGCTCCACCTCATCCGCTGCCTCGACACGTCTTCGGACCTTCGGACCCGGAACGAAGCGCCTTGTCCTATCGGCCGCCTTCTCCAGCTCAAAGCGCAGCAAGCGCGCGATGTAGTCATGGTCGTAGACCGTCTTGGTCACAGGAAACCTCAGGCATCGCTACGAACGTAGCACAGGGCATCGCTAGTATGGTGGCAAGAACGCTACTAGTAGCTTCTGGCATTACTACTAGTAGCAAGGACGCTACTAGGTTGAAGGCGGAATGAACATAATGAACCTGAAGGGCGTCCCCATCTGAGACGAGCTGCTTCTCCAAGGTCTCTTGGACCACCTCCCCATTGAGCACGTAAACCAAGGTGCATTCCAAGCACTTGACCTAGCGTTCCGAGCATGGCGTTCGCATCGGCGCTTCAAAGCTGGATGGGATCCGACATCCGAAACGAACGCCAAGAGGCTGTGGCACTTCTTCGCTTGTCCGAGCCCAGCACCGCTACATCACCTGCGCTTGGATACTCTTCAACCTGCTAGCAATGGCCTCCAAAGTAGTGATGACCCCAAACCTACTAGCAATGGCACATGTTCATGTTTAAAATGTCCGAACGCTCCCAAATCTTTAGAATCGGATTCTTCAGTCAGACCGTGAAGAACGGACTGGTTCCTATCCTCGCGCCTAGAACAACGCCGCCACCAAGTTCAGCAACCACCTTGCTGCCTTTCCTTGAATCGATCGATGAGCGGGTGAATCGAACATGACCGTCGTTCTTCTAGTAACAAGAAACTACTAGGAACAAGTGCATCGCTTCTAGTAACAAGTGCCTTACTAGTAGTAACAAGAAGCTACTAGTAGCTCCTGGCATCGCTACTAGGAACCCGGGCATCTCTACTACTAACAAGAAGCTACTAGCAGCAAAGGGAATCGCTACTAGGAGCAAGGACGCTACTAGTAGCTTCTGGCATTTTTACTGTAGTAACAAATCTTCTTGGTCCGAGAGGCAAGACTTCCACTTTTCCCGAGTGAAGAATGAACATCTCAAAGCCCATCTCCCCTTCCTCTCGACGTGAAACGTCTCAAACCATTTGCGTATCATCTCATCAAGTGTTCTCTCCTTCATCAGTGCCATTCCTGGATAGTAGAGCCTCACCAAAGGTCGAAGCGCGTGGGATCGGTTCGCGTGGGTCCCCCGCGTCGTCCGCCTTGGCTCCAGAAATTCGCAGATCTTCCTGACACACTCCCGCTCCTGCTTTCGGAAGAACAGCCAGGGAGCTCCGCATGCGCGAAACGCATTCGCGAAACGCAGTCGCAGGTTCGCTCGCGCGTGTTCGTTTTTTTTTTCTTTTATTGGTTTCGATTCGTCCGATTCTTTCTTGTCATCTTTTGATCCATCAAGTCTTTGTTTCATAGACATGTCTTTCGTTTTCTTTTTCTTGTTCTTTTCTCTTTCATTCTGGTTCTGTTCTATCTTTCTCATTCATTGTTCTCCATCTTGGCGAAGCAGGGTAGGTCGCAAAACGCCTCAATGTCGCCTGCAAAGGTCAATGCGACATGCGTCTCTCTCGGTTTGAATCTCCAAACGTGCCACAAGCGGCAGTGGCAGCCAGTGGCAGCCAGTGGCTTGAGGACCTGAGACTTCGCCTGTTAGGTTCTGCATCTTCTCCAACTGCTTTAGCAGTGGATGCTCTTCCAGACCTCCTGAATCAGATTGAACTTCCTTCTACGTGGGCTTCCTTTAGGCTTTCATTGGCTTCTAGTAGCGATGGCCTCCAACCCAATAGCGATGGCCTCCAACCCAGTTGCTACACCAATTCCTGAATCCTTTTTCACGGTCTGTATCAGACAAACAGCAATGCAAGCTACGTCCTGTAGCCTCGACCAAATGAGCAAAGGCCGTCCGCGAAAGCAAAAGGAGCGAGGATTGCTCCACACAGCGGCAGCTATGGCTTCGAACTTTGCTCACACCAAGCATGCCTCAAAAGCAGAGGAAGCACCCTATGTTAGAACCCTCGGGTGGAGGCCATTGCTAGTAGGTTGGATCCATTAGACTGCACCGGTGAAGCCGTTTGCCTCTCCTCGGCCGTTGGAGCTACAACCCGCCGTCCCCTGGGCCCAGCGGCCCATGTCTCCAGAAATGCCACCCGGAGCCACGTCGCCTCGTCACGGTGGCGGGAGGCCACCCGCAGGTCCGATGGAAACGTCGTCCACGTGGTTCGTTCGAACGAGCGTCGTGGCGCAGAAAGCGTCGATGCTTCGGCGAAACAAATGGGCGTCTCAGAGGCGTCCGCATCACTCGATTCGAGCCCAATCCGCAGCTTCCGAGCTCGCTGCGGAATGGCCCCACCTTCGCACCCCGGTGAATTTGGCACTTCGCACCGCGCCGTCTCGAGGGCTACGCCTTCTTCCGCCGCTCCGGTCTGGGGCCCCCCGGCCGATGGGAATTTCCGGCAGCGACGGATCGCGGAGGATGGACTTCTCGAGGTGTCCCGACAGAACGATGCACATCCACTCGCCTCATCTCGACGTCGCGCGTGGGACGCGTCGCGCGCGCGACGTCGAGGCGGAGGCCAGGGTGGAGGCCATCACAGGGATTTGGGGGGCCATTGCTAGTAGCTTGGAGGCCATCGATGCCATTGCCTTTTAAGGTTGTAGGCAAAATGAAATAAAGCTTTGACAGTAGCTTTGACGTCTGGAAACGCCTGGGGGTCGCGCCTGGGTCGCCCTGGCGATAAAGAAGTCCACCAGAGTACTCCGCCGGCACCACCGCATCGCAGAGCTGCTGGCGAAAGCTCTCCGGTGCCTCTTGGAACAGGACCACCTTCCTGAGAAACAGGAGCATGGACGCTACGAACGGCGGCTCCTGGCCTTACTACTAGGAACAAGAAGCTATTAGAAACAATAATTACAGTAGTATTGGAATTTATATGATTATAGAGATGGAACAAGAAGCTACTAGGACCTCTTCGCGCGCGCGTGGGGGGTAGAGGACGCTACTAGGAGCAAAGGGCATCGCTTCTAGGGGCTCCTGGCCTTACTAGGAGCAAGGACGCTACTCGTAACAAGTCGTCGAAAGTCATGGCCTCCAACCAAGTTAAGCGTTCGATCGCTACGTTCGGTTCGTAATGCCAGGAGCGCTCCGGGAACGTCGCCTTCTTGCTCCTAATTCGTAGCGATGCCCTGTGTTACTAGTAGAATCCAAGTAGCTGAAAACACTCACGATCTCGCTCATTTGATCGATCTCGCTCACATTTCCAGAGGAAACATCCAAGAACACACACGCGTACACATGCGTCAATCGGTGGTACGAGTACACATGCGTCCTTTGTGCTGCCATCATAGCTGATCATTGAAACGAAACACGAATAGATGGTACTAAAAACCGCCCCTTGCACCACATCTCCTTGTGACTTGGGCAACTTGCACAAAAAGTGCCCTCATTGCTGCAAAGGGTCTTCAGCAGTGCTGCGAAGTCATTCTTTGTCTTGGAGTTCTGCATGGACTTGTCCTAAGTGTGGACTGTGCTGTGCTCTGCGGTGCGGCAGACCAGTTGCACCACCGCGTCGGTGTTCACCCCGACGTCTTGAGGCCAAGGCCCATCTTTGCAGCAACTCCTCGGGGACGAATGCGGTGCGACGTGCGTCATCGGCCCAAAGGGCGGATGCGGACGCAATGCAACGTCCCTCTCCCAAGTGGTCCTTGTCATGCCGTGGCAATCCTTTGAACCGCAATTCAGGCTCCATGTCTTGAGCCCGAAATTCTGAAAAAAGACAGCACACTCCATGTGACACATAGCAATGGCCTACTAAGGATGGCCTCCAACCTACGAAGGCGTGATTCGTGCCCCCACCCCGCTTCACATCTCGCATCTCGCTCTTTGACGCTCTTTATGTCAGCGTGTGGCAGTCAGGTATTTCATGAACCTGAGTTAACCTCCATCTCAGGCCATCTCACGGAAGATGCTGACAGCAGTGCTGACAGCAGAGCTCAGAAGTCTTCCTTTTTGAATCTGCTTCGCTGGGCCAGCTGGGCTGTTGGCTCAGCTGTCAGTACTGCAGGGCTGTCTTCCGTTCATTGAGTGAGAGGAAAATGAACTGCAGGGCCACTGGTCACCCTTCAGTCTCAGGCCGGGTCTCTACAACCAGGGTCACACGCTCTGAATCACCACAACAAAAGAACTAGAGGCACATTGTGCCAGACATGCAGGGCAGGCTCCAAACTGAAAACCTTCCCACGGCGCGCGACGGCGCAGTGAAACAACCGTCTGAATCTTCTAGACCTCTGTGCCCTCCTCAGGCACCTGGTTTTCCACACCAATGGACACACAAAGCGTCGAGTGAAAAACAAGACGTTTCATCTAAGTCCGTCACCTCTTCCTCCTTCTCGGCCTGTTCACCCTTTTCGGCCTGGAAACGTGGTGTTTCGTCGTCACGTGTGAAAAGCTGTATGCTGGCACCGATCCCGGAAGCATGTCCAATGTGAACCTCCGTACCGAGCCATTGGACCGACATTTGTAGGTGCCAACAGACGGGTCGAACAACCGGTGGACCCACCGACGTGTCGGACTCGCAGCTCAAACGGTGGACGACGGTCGGGGATAGCTTTGACGCGGTCTTTTTGGCGCCTCGCCTCCCCTCGAAGGCTCTTCTGACCACGAAGCTTCCGGGCTTCAGCACCTCCGTGTGGATCTTTTAAATGAAAGCTACTATCAAAGGAAAATAGCAAAAGAAACCTAAAGGCGATGGCCTCCAAATCTACCTGCAATGGCCTCCAACCAAATAAAGCAAAACCCCCTTCTACCGTCCTTCTACCGTCCGTTTCTGGATTTGCAAATAGATCGTAAGAATGCTCCCTTCGTAGCCAGGCCCGAACGTAGCGTCCTCTTGTTACTTATAGCACCTAAAATGGTCATCGTCCGAGAGTTCTTCGGTCAGAATATCTTGGCCCAGTTGCTCGTGTATGCAGGGCATCCGTGGCTCTTGCAAACACTGCAACACCCAGGATCACAGCAGCCACAATGGCAAGAAGGCGTCCAAGCCTGTCTTCAGTCAGAACGGCTACACTTGTCGCACTTCTCGCATTCCCTAGTGGTAGATGTTGTCTCTTTTGCGCAATGTGTGTTTCGGCTTTTCTCTTCAAACCTAACCGGCATGCCTTTCAAAACCGGCCCTTTCGTCCTTGCTTTTTTCCTTGTCTCTGTGCCCTGCTCCATCCTGTTCCCAAGGGCACAAGCTGTTAGCCGACGCGTTTTTCGCCTTGTTTGCACATCAGCTTCGAGCAATTGGCAGCTCCGTGAAGGAGAGGATCAGCAACAATACGCCGCTACACAAGCGCATGGCCCACCACCCAGAATAGCAGAAACGATCAATCCACGATCAATAAAGACTTTAACACAGCAATTGCCGAAATGACGGAAATATCTACAGTAATAGTTCAAATCAAAGACTATCTATCATACTCTGCTATGCAGAGCCATTGGGCTGGAGGCTGCAAGCAAATGATGGTGTCAGTGTCAAGAATGGCTGGTTTTCACCTCACACTGATCAAAACAGCAAGCGTTACGTCGACCGTTACGTAACGTGTCAGTCGTCTTTTTGACCGTGTCGAATGCGTTCGGATTTCGTCAGTGCTTTCAGAACGCTGATGGCGACACTCACTGGACCGCCACACGTCAGCTGGCCTCGGAGGTTGGAAACGCCCGAAAGAAACTAGAGTCTAAGATGAACGCCCCAAAAAGTCTAAAGAAAGAAGTGAAGGGCTATAGGAAGGTAAAGGAAGCGGAAGTTAGATCAAAAAAGATGAAGAGGTCAATGAGTCGAGGCAACCTATAGGGTGCCAATGCAGGACCAACAGGAAGGGTACTTCAGGTTTCCTGTGTGACTTTTAGTGAAATAAGCTACTAGGAACAAGTGCATCGCTACTAGGAGCAAGGGCCTTACTAGTAGTAACAAGAAGCTACTAAACATCACATCTCGGAGGTCAAAACTTTATTCTAATTAAATTCCATTTACACTGAATTACTTCTAATAGCAAACATTGTTACTACTAGTAAGGCACTTGTTACTAGAAGCGATGCACTTGTTCCGAACGTAGAATTTTTGCTGATGCACTTCGGAACCACTTGTGACTCAGATGACGATCTCATCTGGCGGATGTGATGCACCGCCTCGCTGATGGCCTCGAGCAGGTGACCGTCCAGCCGCTGCGAGAGACCGGACCGGCCGCAAGAACCAGCGCGGGACCGGCTAAGAGGCTAAATGTCCTCGATTCATCTCCCTCAATTCATCTGCCATCACTGCCATCCTCATCCTGCATGTCTGGAAACCCGACACCTGCCCCTCAGACCGCGTGAACTCGCTGCGGCATTGAACCAACCGAAGGCCCACGTTCCAGCGACATCCGTGTCACTGCGTCACCAAAGGCGAGTGGTCTCGGACAATTATTGAGCCTGAGTGATGAAGAGGTAGCTAAGATAATTCCAACTTCTCACTCCTTTAGCAGCTCAGCAGCTGAAAAATCGCTACTAGGGTGGAGGCCCCTACTAGGGTGCAGCCCGGGGCAGCGTTTGAGCCTTCTCTCTCCGCTTCTGCTCCGGAGTCCTGGGGGCGCGGCGGGTTCCGGCGCAGCCGCCGGCGCAGGCGCATCACCTTCAGCAGCTTTGGCCTCACCAAAAGCGGAGCTTTAACGGACGGACGTCCAGTCCCAGCCTCAAAAACAGGCTTGCGTCCAGCGGCAAGCGTTCTCGAAATGTGGCGATCGAATTCGAAACACATGAAAACACCTACGTTCAACAAACCCTGGTGAGACATGTTCTCGCTGGGCTGGGCATGGACTTCCCGACGATCTGAAGAATTGAAGCGATGCGTCTTGGCTTCGAGGGTGAAGTGCAGTAGCCGACGTGTTCGGTGGGCACCGACGGTGTACTGCAGTGCCAGACGTGCACCACAGAGTCCAGGCCCTTAAGAATGCATTTTATCTCAGATGCAATTCTTACACAAGAACTTTGTGCCAGTGGTGGGAGCTGCTTTTGTCGCAGCAGTTAGCGTATTCTTGAAGAGTTCTGCATGTTTCAGCAGCCTTTACAAAAACCAGGTCGGCCTCGTCCGCCTCTGCCCTCGCGAGAGGTAGCATGTAAATATACCACCTGCAAAGCAAAGTTGCCAAGGCTAAGCCCCCGAAATCCATGTTGAGCGCACCCGGGCAGGATGATGCCAAGGATCAGGACAATCATGATCCTCGCATTCGGCACTCTGCGCAACGCGTGGCCATCGGTGGGCGATCGGTTGGGCGTTCGGTGCATCACTGCAGGCAGCGACACACAGCATCTTCCGAGGACTTGGCGTGGCCACTAACTTCTGCATCGTGTCGCCTGATGGCTGGTGTTGGCCGCACGATAGTCGCACATCTCTATCTGTCTCAGATTCTCAGCTTAAGATTGGAATAGTATCATAATCATGATCGTTCATTATCTTCATTGTAAGGCTTGGTTAGACTTTAGACCCTTGTTTTTGTTCCTTCTCCCAAGAGCCCCTTGCTCAGCCTTGGCTGCCTCTTACTAAAGAAGTAGGCTCACCTTATCTCATCTTCTTCTTCTTCCTCTTATTTCTTGTCCTTTGTTTTTCTTGTTTGCCTCTTCTTTTTTATTTCTCAAATTATATGTGTTTGCTTCTTTTTGATTCTTCCTCTCGTTTCTTTTTCGTCAAGTTTGTTGTTCTGTTTCTTTCTCGCCGCCTCGCCTTCCACGGTCTCGGATGCTCCTTGCACTGCCATGTACACCTTGGCCACATGGCGCCCCACGGCGCCCCCAGCAAACACATCGTCGCTCGCTCGCTCGGCACTCGCTCCGCCTGTTCGTTTCCAAGGCACCGCGGTCTCCCAGGAAAAGGCCAAGATCAAAGAAGCGACGCCGATGAAGAGTCCCGATGACAAGCAGCCTCGGCTTCTTGATGGGTAGACGTTCGGCGCTATTGCTCTGGGAGCTGCGGTACAACAGCAATGGTCAACGGCGGATTCGGAAACTAGAATGGGTCTGAATCGGATAGTTTCTGAATCGGGTCTGTGAAATACAAATATGTCCACGCTACATCAACACAAACAGTTCATTAGATCCCCACCCCCGCCCTCCCCCCAGTTTCTGAATCGGGTAAGTCTCTGAATCGGGACACTCTGTAGTTTCTGAATCGTCTTCTGTTCCTCCAACCTAGTCGTGAGGGCCTCCAACCTACTTGCGATGGCCTGCCACCACTAGCTGATGGCCATGGTGGCCCATCTTCCCCAAGAAAAAACCCTGGGAAAAGCCATCGCAGCTTAGGCACTCGAGCGGCCCATCAAATGTGCACTGACCATCGGGAAGAAGATCAGCACCTCGGATTTCGGCCTTCCAATCGACGGAAGCGTGCCAGAATCAAGACGAATATGACGTCAGAGCGTTGGGTTGCTTTTCATCTTTTTTAGGGCCTAAGAGTGTTGTTTTCTGCGTGTTTTGTTGCAGTCCACATGTTCGTGCTTGTCTTTTTGCATAAGTCCATTCTTTATGCCATCTGTTCTTTCCTGTCATTCTTCCGATGTCCGGTTCCTCTCAGCGTTCCATCAAGGCACGGTCCCTACTAACGCGAGGCCATTGGCAGCGATGAGCTTAGAAGTGTGGTGTGCTCCAGCATCATCTGCCGTCATGTTCCACAGCAGCCACCTTGGGCGCTGCGCAAAACCACTACCGCACCAAGTACGGTTGAGCGATCGTGCG